TGTGGTGTGCCTCAGAGTGAAGTCACTTTTGATATTGATGCCAATGTCACCCTCAATGTCTCTGCTGTGCATAACAGTACAAGAAAAGAACAAGATTACTGTCACTACTGGCAAGGGTCATCTGAGCAAGGAAGACATTGAGTTCATGGTCCAGGAAGCTGAGAAGTACAAAGCTGAAGATGACGAGGAGCAAGACAAGGGTGTCTTCCCAAAAAACTCCCTTGAATCCTACGTATTCTATAGGAAAACAGCTGTTGAAGATGAAAAACTTCAAGGCAAGATTAATGATGAGGACAATTAAAAGATTCTTGACAAGTGCAAGAAAATTATCAACTGGTTTGATAACAACCAGACTGCAAAGAATGTGAACATAACAGAAAAAAGCTGGAAAAATCCTGCAATCCCAACGGTACCAAGCTGTACCAAAGTGCAGGAGACATGCCAGGAGGAAGGCCAGAAGGCTTCCCTGGTGGGGGGGCCCTTCAATCTGGTGGTGCTTCCTCTGGGCCCACCATCAAAGAGGTTGATTTAGCCAAGCTTGAGCATAGATTCAGCATTGTTCCACACAAAACATCAAAGGACCTAAATTTGTAGCAAATTCGATGGCAATTTGCTACAGTTCTGGAGCTCAGAAGGTATGCTAGACTTTAAAAATAGATCTAAGTACTGTCTGTTACTTATTTTCTGTACCTTCTCCCCCCTTCTCCTCCTCCCACTCCCCTGTTGCTAACCCTCCTTGAGATCTTCATTTCTATGTTTCCACTCCTGATCTAGCTGTCCTTTTAGTTTGCTTTCGTTTTAGGTGTGGTTGTTAATAACTGTAACAGACAGTAGATAGAAAATAGATGGGGGGGCAAGAATAGCATGGGAAATATAGAATCTAAAGGACTTGAGACACATGGTCATAAACTAAAGGGGGGTAATGGTGGGGATGAGGGGTAGGGTGGAGGGGAATAAAGGGGGAATAGAACAACTGTAACAGCATAATCAATAAAAAAATTTAAAAAAAAGAAATCTTAAGACAAGGAAAAAAATAGATCTAAGAATTTAAACTTACTGTAAAAGGAAAATTAGAGTAAGAAGATCCAGGGTAGAGACCTTTGAAGAAATTCAATATTGAATAATTTGTTAGAGGAAGAAAAGTATTCAGGGAGGTGTGGAACATGGATGCAAGAAACAGAAAATATTTTTAGGGAACATGGGACAGTAAAGAATGTGAAGAACTCCTAAAAAGGCAAGCAAGATAATTACTAAAACTTGTTATTGAATTTAGCAATAGTATTGTTGGTTATGTTAGTGACAATTGATTAAAGCAGTTTGTGTTTTCTGATAGATTGAGCAGTAAGTTGAAGAAATGGAAATAATAAATATAGACAAATACACCCTCTTAAGGAAGTTGGGCTAGGAGGAGCAGATAGTTGGCGGTAGCTAATATGGGAAATGCAATGTGTAGGAAGTTTTTTTTTGGATGACATTGGCGGTAGTTTTAAGGTAGAGAAGGACTGTCTGTAGTCACTAGCAGGAAGAGACTGAAACTATGGGTTAATTGAGAAAGTAAATTCTTTGTGAAGTTCAAAAGAGACACATGACATAGTTGGAGAAATTAGAGCAAAGCAGGGGCACTTCTTTCATTTCTAGGAAGAAGAAAAAGGCCAAGCATGGGTATGGATGTAAGTAGTTTGATAGATATGAGGAAACAAAAAAGTTCAGGTTGACTGACTTCCATTGTCTCCAAGACACAGAAATGCTAAGAGTGGAAGATAAGGGAAAATGGTTTAAGCTATGTAGAAGCAAGAGAAAGTTTGAAAGAGTTAGTTATACAGAAAGAAAATGGAGAATGGAAAATGCTACTTCTTATGCCCAAGAGTTTTTTTTTTAAGCATTCTTACCATCTGAATGGCTGGCTAGTGGTGACCACATTTATTACAGTCTATATGAAGTCTTCTTAGCTTCAGCCTTGCTTGAGGGGCCATGGGAGAGGACTATTAGATAATCTTTTGGTGAGTTTTTGGAGGGCTAGGGAGATCAGAAGCTGAGCCAAGCAGTTGATCACAATGAGTTAGCTGAGTCTTTCATATAGCAATGTCAAGATAGGAACATTAATTTTATTGTCTTAACTCATGTACTCTTTATCACCTGGTAAACATAGTAAATAATTAAACATTGGTCTGAATACAAAACCTCCAAGGGTATAATTTGCTGGACCTAAAGAAATTTTTCAAATAAAGAATTGTGATCTGTTGGGAGTAAATTAAATTGCTTAATAATTATTTATGTTTTTAACATTATTCACTCATGTAATAAACATTTCTCATTTAGGTCTTCACTGGGATCTTCACAGCAGAAATGTTTCTCAAGATCATTGCCATGGATCCATATTACTACTTTCAAGAAGGCTGGAATATTTTCGATGGTTTCATCGTGAGCCTTAGTTTAATGGAACTTGGTTTGGCAAATGTGGAAGGATTGTCAGTCCTTCGATCATTTCGGCTGGTAAATTAACTGGGAGTATCCATAATATTTTTAAAATTAATTTAATTAGTTTCCACCCTTTCTAGCAACTTCAGTGAGATTTCACATGGTTATAATATTATATGAGTACATTTCTAAAACAAACCACATTGCCCCAAAACCAGATGATAATTTCTTCTACATCATAGGTCAAATGGATAGATAAACTATACTCAAGTAACTGGCCAATTTCTTCTTAGTAATTAAATGACAAGGCTAATGAGGAGGGAGAAAAAAGGGAGTGATAGATAAACCCAAATCACAATTGAACAACACAACATTCATTTCTCAGCAATGTGGGGTTTGTTGAACTATACATAAGGCTTGGCTGGAATTTAGAATGGACTCACTTTTCTATCAGAAGCTCAGGAATTGGACGGTTGCCCACTTTGCCCCATAGAAATCAAGACTCAGGACTGGATAGAGTATACAAGGGAAACACACAGAGCTCTCCACACTGCTACTTCAGTCAGCTCACGATGTCACCAATCCACCCTTCAAGAAGAGCTCCCTGTATTACATTTTGTTAATTTTAAAGAAAGAATCTTTCATTTGATCTTTATATTTTATAAGTATATGCATCTTTTAATATTAAGAGACATTACATCACAACACATTTCCATTTAAAGTGTGATATGCTTTATTACGCTGTTACCTTGAGTAGGCTCCAACTTTTTGTGATTTATTGTCAAATAACAGAGACTGTAGATAGTAAGGACAGGTTCCTAGGTAACTTATCATAGAGATGATTAGTCTCAAAACGTTGTTGTGAAGTCTGTTTAGAATTCTCCTTGCCTTTTTCAAAGTTCACATTTGGTTGAGATCCTTAGAGCTGTGGGTTCTTTCTCTTGTCTCCACAAAGAGCTATGGATCTAATTTGAAGTCTGAAGGATGCAAAAAATAGAACAAAAATTAGAATAATTATATAAAAGTAAATGTGGGCAAGTACTTTTCAAAAATATTTGGTAAATCTCCATGATAATGTGATGCAGTTGGAGGAGATAGAAGCATAATATCATTAGCATCTTGCTTAGAGTCTCAGGCTCTTTTGCATTAATTATTCTCTAGGAATAAATTAAACTTATGGTGCTTATATTTGATCCTTTGAGTCACTCAGATGACATGAAATAATGCAGTACTCTTAAAAATGACATTTATTGAAGCATCAGAAATAAAATGCTGCTGCTGTTTAACTATCTGTGGTATTTTAGAGACCTCTATGAACTAACACAACCAATGAATCAGGTACAGCAGTGGAGAGCCATTTATACAGTCTAATGAGTTATTGATTAAGTCAAGGAAGACATGAAGGTTGAAAAAATAAACATAATAAATATAATAAATCTTTACAATATAGCCTAATATTACAGCCAGCTAAAGATATAGTAAGATGAAGGTAATCTAAAGATTTTTAAACATTGTTTTTTATTTTGTAGCTTACATAATTAAGTTTTCATTTTATCTGCACTTTTGCATTTTAGCATGATATTTCAAGTACAGTGAAAAAAATGCATCCACTTGGGGCTTTTAAATAATAAGAGCCTCTACTTCTCTGAAACAGTCTCATTTAATTAATTACCATTAATCTTAAATACCTCAGTTCCTTACAGAAAAACAAAGAGTATTTCATATGCTTATGTAAGATTCTGAGAAATTTGGTGTGCCTTATTCTTAAAATGCCAATAAAAACTGTATAATTATTTTATTTATAATATAGACTATTTCCAGATAAATAATTCCTCATGATATCAAATAAGCTGATACATTTTCTAGATAATACTGTTATCCCAAAATAATCCGTCACCTTATAATTGAGACATTGTAGATTTTCCATGTAAATATTATAAATTTAAAAGACAGGACAGTAATAGCTTTCTTGATTTTGTTTCCAGCTCCGAGTTTTCAAGTTGGCAAAATCTTGGCCAACACTGAACATGCTGATCAAGATCATCGGCAATTCCGTGGGGGCCCTGGGAAACCTCACCTTGGTGTTGGCCATCATCGTCTTCATTTTTGCCGTGGTCGGCATGCAGCTCTTTGGTAAAAGCTACAAAGAATGTGTCTGCAAGATTTCCAATGATTGTGAGCTCCCACGCTGGCACATGCACGACTTCTTCCACTCCTTCCTGATTGTGTTCCGCGTGCTGTGTGGAGAGTGGATAGAGACCATGTGGGACTGCATGGAGGTCGCTGGCCAAACCATGTGCCTTACTGTCTTCATGATGGTCATGGTCATTGGAAACCTGGTGGTATGTAGAAACTTTTTTCTCATTTTCAAAAAAATGTAATGTAACCATATAAAATTATATCCAAGTGAGCAATGTTAGTATGTTTTTCCTTTATCAAGGCCATTTCCAGTTCTCAAATACTCATCATGGAAGAGCCAGGTGTAGAACACTGAAATTTGTGTATTATTTTTAGAAAATTTTAATTATTTATATTGTTCTTATTGATATATAATTGACATATATAACATAAATTGTCTTTTGGATCAGGTGGGTAATATGCCAATGTCATAGAAAGGTTTGAGGGAGGCACATCTCACATAAGAGCATGAACACCCAGTCATCACGCTTACGGAATACAAAAGAGGAACTGCGACATAAACGCAGGATACCTTTTGAGCTGAAGTTGTTCTTCATCACCAATACCACTTGAAAATGTTTCAAATTTGATCTTCCCACAAATTAGAGTTTAAAAAAAAAACAGTGATCCTCTCAGTCCATTAAGAGTACATGAGGTCTTTGGTGCCTAGAAACTGGAGTACAAGTAAGTAAGATTGATTGAAGAATCACTTATTATCATTTCTCTGTAAAATGAACCATGCCTGGCAGCTCTGTTGAGTCCTGGAGACATGGGAAAGGTGACAGGAGAATATATACGGCACAGTGATAGGACATTTACTTAAATAGATGTAAAAGTAGAACGTATCTAATATAAAAACCAAAAATATAAAACCCAAAAGCTATATGGGTCTCAAAATGGAAAAATTGCTTTACAATGGCAAGGATCAGCAGAAGAGATTTTGTCAAAGAGTTTGGGCCTGAAATATCTTTTTTTTCTTTTTAATTTATTTTTTATTGATTATGCCATTACAGTTGTTCTATTCCCCCCTTCATTCCCCTCCACCCTACCCCCCCATCCCCACCATTACCCCCCCTTTAGTTTATGACCATGTGTCTCAAGTTCTTTAGATTCTATATTTCCCATACTATTCTTGCCCCTCCATCTATTTTCTATCTACTGTCTTTTTAATTAAGGTGTAAATTTTAACTTGGTAGGAAGAAAGGAAGACCTTTGAAATCAGGAAACACTGGCCCCAGTGCATGGAGAATAGAGGATGTAGACTCTGTAGAAGAATTAGGCTCTTAAACACTCTATATTTAAGCAGTTATACTAAGTTGCTTGATTAGATCCCATGCCAGTGTTAATAGAACAAGGATTGTGGTAAGTAATATTGTAGAGTATGTAATTTATAAACTTAATTTCATTTCACATAAAAGTAACCCCAAATTTCCCAAATGGAGGAAAAAAAGGAGGGAAAAGAGACAAAAGATTATCATTTTATTTTCACATGTACTCAGATTTACTTGATAGGTTAGATAATGGTGACCTATTCTTGGGGTAACAAGAAACATGAACAGTGGCTCAAAACAGCAAGCATTTATTATCTCATAGTTTCTGTGGGTCAGAAATCGGAAGCAGCTTAGCTGGGTGGTTCTGGCTTGAGATCTACCAGAAGATGGAACCAAGATGCTGGCTGAGGGCCCAGTAATCTTAACTGAGGCTGGAGGATCAGCTTCCAAGAAGACTCACTCTCATGGCTACTGACAGGGGGTCCTCGTTCCTAATTGACTTCAGTTCCTGTCCATATGGACCTCTCCAGAGGGTTGCTAAGTATATTCATGACTTGGCAACTGGTTGCTCCCAGAGCAGGTGATAAAGAGGGAGGGCAAGGAGAAAACCCTCTCTATGTTCTAATCGTTAAGTCACACCCTGTCACTTCTGCTATAGTCTATTCATTAGAAACTAGTCACTAAGAAGAACTCACACTGAAGAACAAGGAACTAGGCTTTAACTTTTGAAGAGAGGAGTATTAAATCACTTGTAAATATATTTTAAAGCTACCACCTTCCACAATTCAACTTACTTTCAAAAAAGTACAAGATTTCATCGAACAGAAACAAATAGCCATAGGATTAAACAGAATAGAAACAAAGAAAAAGCCATAAGTTTGTATTAGAGATCTTATTATATATTATATAACATATACTATTAAATATATTATAAATTACATATGAGGAGACTGTATATGACATACATTAGAAGAAGAGATGAAAATGTAGAGAACCGAGTCCCTGATGACAACAGTGCCTGAACAGGTCTGACCATATCAGGAATTCATAGTGGCAGTGGTAGAAAGCAAGTTTGAGCCCAGGCTGTGGAGAGTTTAATTTGTGAAAAGGCTGACTGTGCATAACAAAATTGGATTTTATTCTATATATTATTCAAAGTTACAGATGGCTTTTTACCAGGAAAGTGAAAAAGAGCAAGTGGTATTTCAGTAAAGTTTATGTACCAGGAAAATGCAGAGTGGATTTAAAGAGAAAGAACAAATCAAATGTTTCCTATTAGATTACTGAAGATACATCTTTCTAATATGCCATTCTACAAAGGATTAAAATTGAAAAGAAAATTTCAGGAAGTATCTATACCTATGGGTAGCATTTAGTATTAATTAAGATAGCTATATATGCATAAAAATGGAGTCTGCAAAATAATCATTTCTGTCTACTGGCATAAATTTAAAATCTGTACCCTTAAGAAAAAAATAAAGGCTATTTTTTCCTTTTTGTCTATCAATTTAAAAAATTTTTCTTTTGTTTTGTCATATACTGGATATATTTCTGGAGTACCTAAGATAGTAACATTCTCCTTTACCACTGTTAAGAAAATGTGTTCAGATCACATTTGCTGAAATAAGATTGAATGAACTTGATGCACTGCCTCCTACAACTTTTCTTTCCCATCCTCACCAAAGAGGGAAAAGACCCCCCAGGAAAAGCTAGCATAACCCACTTTCGACACACCTGAAGTCCACCTGGGGCTTCACCACAAGTGGTGTGAGTGATCACTGGCATACCTGGTTCACAGGCAAGGAAGAGGCTGGGCCATGTGCTGCTCTTCCCCAGGCCAGAAATTTTTCATGAGCCATTCTTGTTTTTTTTTTGACACTAGGGCCAGCAGTCATTTTACAGGTTCAAGGCAGATTTTTCAAGAAAAACCATGTGACTTTTTGAAGACTGCTACATCTAGAAGTAGCTGACTCCGTCTCCTTCTCCAAGTGAAGGAGGAGAATCAGCACACAGGAATGACCTGAAATTTGGGGTTCTTATAAATTATGATGGCAAAAGTATTGATATTCATAATGTATTTCAATTTTGAACCCAAGATGGAAATTATGGTGAAACATTTACTACAGGGAACTAATTTGGGGGACCTATGAAAGAGATGATTGCACTCAATGAGTTAGCATCTGGTGAAACAGAATCCAGAGTTTCAGTCCCTGAGTGAGCTTGTTGAACTGTGTTCCCTTAAATTGCCATTGATTTCACCAACTACCTTGGTCAGCTATTATGCATATACTCTTTGGTAACAAAGGAGATCTAGAAAAAGAGATTAACTGGGTTCACATAAATATTTTAGGAAAATAAGATAAACTGAATGATAGTATTGCTGAGGTAGGTCGGATCATAACAATAGCTAAACTTTCTCAAGGATTTACTGTGGGCCAGTAGCTTCATGAGAGCCACACGGATTCTTTAATTAGATCCCTACAATTATCTTATAAGCTAGGAACTGGGAAAAGTATTATATTTATTTTAAAAATGAGGAAACTGAGGCTCAGGTTGGTTTTGCCGAGTAGTTAATAATGGACAGAATCTCAACTCTCTTCCAGCACTCTGATTCTAATAAGGAAGAAGGGCAGGCCATTTAAATATAATAAAAATGACACTTTTACAAATAGGTAAATTGCACCAACAGTAAGAAGAACAAATCTAAGATGGATCTCACTCTGGGAGGCTTGATTGATTATACTGAGAAAAATTCCCTAATAGACAAGGACATTACATTAATAATGTAATAAATTGACTTAAGCAATCAAGTCCAGAAAACAATATGCCACCAATATTCAGTTTTACTATGGATAAAAACCAAAATTGAGGACTTTTCTCTCCTTTATCTATTTTTCTTCTAAATAATACATCAAACACATACCACAATAAAAAGTAGATTTATTGGTAAATTGCTGATGTAAAAGGACAGATCTTAGTATGAATACCAGCAGTCACGGCACATAAATGAAATGTGTCAGCATAGACTTACAAAACTAAGTGCAGTCCTCCTTATTGGACCTTGCGTGTTGTATTACCTTTCTTACCACCATTGATTAGACTAACTAGTTAGACAAAGGAACTCTAAATAAGTCTCATTAGCTTATTGGAAAGATAGGAATGTAGTAAGAACGCAGCATCCTTTTCATTGGAGTTTTGCTTAACATCTTTCCCAGATTCTCCTTTTGTAGTATATTACTTTTTGTCTTTGACCTCTTCTACTGCTATATCTTTTCTTTTGTTCTGAATGGTTGAATAATGAAGAACTCATGGACATTGTCAGTCAAGTCCTGAAAAAATGTATGTGATTTAGTCTTGTGCCCATGGGCATGCCTAATTCTTTAGTGAGTCACCTCTTTTTGAGAACACAGTGTTATTTATATTCACTAATATTTTCACTCACTCAGACCAGCCAAGCCTATTTTTGGAGATGCAGGTTATAGGCTAACTAGTAGTCTTATTCATGGGAATACCTTTACTTCACAATTGTAAACTCAACCATTAACATTATTATTGTATAATAACTACTTCTTTGTAGTATTTTCAACCATTGTGTAAATCTAATGGCCATGATTTTTTGAAACAAAATATAAATAATGTGGATTTTGATCTAATAAAAAGTATATTTTTCTTAATCTGGCAAGTTATCTAGGTAGAAAAGCTGGTAAATACACATAAAAATCAAATAATTTAAATATACTAAAATCACCTTTGGTTTTAAGTATAAAAGTGTAATAAATTATTATTGCGCTGGAAAATCCAGATGGGCAAATTACTTAACATCCCAAGTAAAACTTTTTTTTCTTTCTCAATGTACCATTTTCTAGATAACTAAGATTTCTCCTCTAGAATGAAACTTGATAAAGATATATTATACAACAATGGTTGCAATAATTTTGCAATGACTAAATGGAGAATAATGTTAATAAAATCATTTGATATGAGCCAGGTCTTTATTTCATTCACTTCTGTCGAGGATAGTTTGTTATGAACTACAGAAAAATACCTATTACCAAAAAATTAAGTTTCAGAATAACTTTGGAAGACATAGAACGCTAGGTCACGCAGTGTTCTCCTGTGTTCTAGGTCCTGAACCTCTTCCTGGCCTTGCTTCTGAGCTCCTTCAGCTCTGACAACCTTGCAGCCACCGATGATGACAACGAAATGAACAATCTCCAGATTGCTGTGGGAAGGATGC